GTATTGACCCCCTACCAACGCTCAACCTTGCCCATTCAAGTTCAGCGTTCCCGCGCTCTCGGGCATTACCTACAGGCTAGTGAAAGTTTCTACGAGTAAATTATGATCTCGGGAACCACAGGTTCTAGGAGGCTGAAATTTTTGGGTAATGACCCCTGCCCATGCTCATCCTTGCCCATTCAAATTCAGCGTTCCCTCGTGAACTATTTTTGCATAGACAAAAGTACAAAGCAGTGAAGATTATTAATAGGCAATCGTTCGATGGGCTGAATTCCACAAAACGCATGATCGCACCGGCTAGTCTGGTGCGCGTTGTTATTTTGCTTTGCTACCGCGTCTTCCCCTCATATACGTACACCTGAAAGGTATATTACGGATGCATAAACGTGTATGCAGACTGCAATGTCGCGACCTCGGAAACAGGGGACGGATGAAGCCGTAAGCTATGCCTTGGCCAAAAGATTGCCTTTTGTAATGCAAGATTTGGCTGTTGGCTCTATTGTGTCTGTGTATGTGATGGAATCGGTAATTGTGATGTTATTGTGATGTCCAGTAGTTCCCGTGCTGGCTGTTTGTTTCCCTATCCGATGTTTTACACTACATAAAACACCGAAAACGAAAGTGATGCAAAGCGCCCGTATATCCGCGGCAGATCACACAGACGACATTGAGTTAAAGAACTTGTTGTATTAACCAGGAAATATATAGGCACCACAATCTTCAGCTGAGGATTTCATGTGAAAAAGGACTATCATTTGGGGCAAAATTTAAAAGCATGGTCGATGTCCTCAAAGTGTCAGATTGCAAGGTTCCTGCTTTTCCCTCAGTACCACTCTATCAACGATAATGATGCTCGCAAAACGTGGTTAATAGCAATTCAGGAGTAAGTCTTGGCTATGATAGTGAAAGCGATGTGGGGCGAAGAATGCCTGCCATTTTTATGCGTTTTGTGCTGTGTAACAGCAGTACAAAACGCATATTGTCATGGGGTTGTCTGTGTGTGTATGTGTGTGTGTGCGTGTGTGTGTGTGGGTGTGTGTGTGTCCACAACAACTTGTCCGCAACTTTCAACTCGGGAACCACGAAAGCTAGGAAGCTGAAAATTTAGGGTAACGT